GAGAAGGATACCTTTTTTATGCTAATCAAAATAATAACAATAAAAGAGATGATTGGCTTATAGATAGTGGATGCACAAATCATATGACCAAGCGGTCTGATATTTTCACCAGCATTGGCACATCTGTTAAAATCCCTATCAAAATGGGTAATGGAGCAATGGTGAAATATGAAGGTAAAGGTACTATTTCCATTGAAACAAAACTAGGCAGATAGCTGATTAATGATGTTCTTTATGTACCTAGTTTAAATCAAAATTTGTTTAGTGTTCCTCAATTGATTCAGAATGGATATTCTGTTCACTTTAAGGATGAATCATGTGCAATGTTGGATCCAAAAAGAAATCAAATTGAAAATGTTAAAATGCAACAAATATGTTTTCCTTTAAATTGGCAATATGCAGAAAAAGAAAAGGTAATGCAAGCTCAAGGAGATGAAGTTACATGGCTACGGCACAAGCGTTTTGATCATAGTAATTTCCAAAATCTAAAACTTCTTTCGCAGAAAAATATGGTGAAAGGTATACCGTTATCTCAAATACAATTGGTGTATGCAATGGTTGTCAGTTAGGAAAAATGACAAGGCACCCGTTTCCAAAGGGACTAGCGAGAAGAGCGATTAAGAAATTGGAACTCGTACATACAGATGTATGTGGTCCAATGAAAACTCTTTCTCTCGATGATAGCAAATATTTCATCTTATTCATTGATGATTTTTCTCGAATGACATGGGTATACTTCATGAAAGATCGTTCTGAAGTTTTCAAAATATTCAATAAAATTTAAGAATTATGTCGAGAAAGAATGTTCATCACAAATAATGAATCCTAGAAGCGACAATGGGTTAGAATATAGCTTATTAGAGTTCAACAAATTTTGTGCTAAGGAAGGTATACATCATCAACTTATTATTCCATATACACCGCAACAAAATGGTGTAACTGAAAGAAAGAATAGAACTGTAATGGAGATGGCAAGATCAATAGTCAAGGATAAGGGAATGCGTAACAAGTTCTGGGCAAAAGCAGTTTATACTTCCGTACATCTTCAAAATTGACTTTCAACAAAAGCAATAGAAGGTCGAACACTAATTGAAGCATGTACGGGATATAAATCATCTATAAGTCATTTAAAATTGTTTGGATGTGTATGTTATACTCATGTACCTGAGCAAAAACGTCATAAACTTGATGATAAAGCTGAAAAAGGAATTTTCCTTGGCTATAGCTCTCAATCTAAAGGATATAGGGTATATAATCCATATACTCATAAAGTTCAAGTTATTAGAGATGTAGTTTTTTATGAAAATGCATCATGGAATTGGGAACAAAATGACATTGATATAAGGCATGTTACGACACCAACATTTCATCAAGAGCGTCCTACACCACCAATATCAACACCAGGTGATCGAATTGGTCAACATTCGCAGGAGGAGACTGATAATAATACAAATGAATCTGATAGATACGACTATGATAGTTCTACAGATTCACCTCCTCGAAGAACTCGAAGAATTTCAGACATATATGATAATACTGAAAGAATTCCGGATCTTGATTTGGAACAATGTGAACTTTGTTGTCAAGCTACGCATGAACCAATTAACTACGAGCAAGCCTCTCAGTGTGAAGATGGAGAGCTGCTATGGAAGAAGAAATTCTCATGATTGAGAAAAACCAAACATGGGAATTACAAGACAAGCCACCTAACAAAGATGGCATTGGTGTAAAGTGGATATTCAAGACAAAACTTAATCCAGATGGTTCGATTCAAAAGCACAAAGCCAGACTAGTAGCAAAGGTTATTCACAACAATTTGGCATCGATTATAGTGAGACATTTGCCCCTATATTAAGGCAAGATACGGTTAGGGTAATTCTTGCTCAAGCTGCACAACAAAGATGGAAAATTTATCAACTCGATGTTAAATCTGGCTTTCTAAACAAATTTCTTCAAGAAGAGATCTATATTGAACAACCTCTTGGTTTTGTTGTGAAAGGAAAAGAAGATAAAGTATTAAGACTAAAGAAAGCTCTATATAGGCTCAAACAAGCTCCACGAGCTTGGTATAGTCGAATTGATGGTTACTTTATCAAACAAGGATTTAAGAGGAGTCCAAATGAAGCAACCTTATACATCAAGAAAGATGGGTCACACATTATCATCTTATGTCTTTATGTTGATGACCTAATCGTTACAGGGAACAATTTATCTATGGTAGAATCATTTAAGCAAGATATGATGAGTCAATTTGAAATGACTGATCTTGGCTTAATGAATTATTTTCTTGGTATGGAGATTAAGAAAACAGAAGAAGGGATCTTCATAAGTCAAAAGAAATATGCACAAAATATCTTAAGAAAATTTAAGATGGAAAATAGCAAGCCAGTATCCACTCCTTTAGCTCAAAATGAAAAGTTGAGCAAAGAAGATAATTCAGAAGATGCAAATGTTAAACAATATAGAAGCATAATTGGGAGCTTATTATATCTAACTGCTACTAGACCAAATATGATGTATGTTGTGAGCATGTTGGCAAGGTTTATGCAGAAACCAAGCCAAATACACCTAAAAGCAATTAAGAGAGTTCTTCGTTATCTAAAGGGAACCTCAGATTATGGAATATGGTACACACCTATGAAAAATTCAAAACTAATTGGATATTCGGACAGTGATTGGGCTGGATCTATCGATAATATGAAAAGTACATCGAGATACGTATTTTCACTAGGAAATGGCGTATTTTCTTGGCTAAGTCGAAAGCAAGATACTGTGGCTCAATTAACTGCAGTAAGCCGAGTATATTGCAGTATGTGCAGCAAAAATCAAGCAATCTGGCTAAGAAAAATCTTAGCAGAAATGGGTGAAGTTCATAAACAACCCACAAAAATATTTTGTGATAGTAAATCTGCTATTTCTATTGCTAAGAATCCAGTACTACATTGAAAGACTAAAAATATAAAAATAAAATATCACTTTGTCCGTGAAGTTAAAAGTGCAGGAAAGATCGGCCTTGTTCATTGTACTACTAAAGAACAAATTGCTGACATATTTATAAAAGCCCTTCCAAAATCAAGTTTTGACCGGTTAAGGGGAAAACTTGGCATTCAAAGGAAGTTCTTCAAGGAGGAGTGTTAAAAATGAAAGATCTTCCTTCATTCTCTCAAAATTAACAAGCTATTTTTAGTTATTACTATATTACTATTGATATCATTGTAATAATCATTCAAATTTAAGCAAACTATTAACGATATTTATGTAATTAATATTGCTATAAAAGCATTGTAAAATCATAAGAATAAATATAATATCAACGATAATAAAATCATATAATATTTATTTTTTAATTTCTTTTTATATATTATTATTATGCACAATTAGCACTATATCCTAACACTAATTGGTAATGAGAAGTTGAGAACTACAAATATGATTGTGTATTTGTTGAAGACTATGATTAGCCACCATGATCAAATGCTCAAGATTGCATCCTAAATTTGGTTTATGGATTGCCGACATGGAAGCCACCTCAGCAACTTGCATAACAACTTTCTGTTATTAGATTCCTTTTGTAACAAACTTTTCTTCTAGAAGTTTTCCTTATAATAAATAGAAGTAGTTGAAGGTTGTAAGATTACAACATCATTCATTCTTCTGAAATGAAATTAGCTCCTCTTTCTCTCTCTAAAATCAATTACATTTTTTCTGGTTTTTGATGATAAACTAAGTTCTTCATATTTTATCATGATATAAGAGCCAGGTTTGAGTAAATATGATCTGTAGCTCCACTATCTACAATCCATTTAGAATTCAAACAAGATACTGAACAAGTACTTGTAACATTGGCTCAGTTGTTAGTTGAATACACAAGATTCTATGTATCCACAGACCTCAGTAAGAAAATTTTGATTGTCCTGATTGCTCATGTATTGCATCATCTTGCTGTAATCAGTGGCTGAGATGTGAGCATTCTCATACTTATGATCATCATCAAGGTTATCATCACTGTAGACAATTGCAGCAATCTTCCTTCCTTTTCCTTTATATCCTCCTTGAGAAGGTGGATAACCATGCAACTTGAAACATCTGTCAATTGAATGACTTGAAATCTTGTAGTGATCACAGAAGAAAGCAGAATTCCTCCTGATAGGAGCAGAACTTCCCTTTCCTGTACCAATTCCTCCAGTGAAACCTCCATTAGAACTGCTCTGGGAAGAAGTTTTGTTCCAAGTATTTGGAACAGGGCCTGTATGTGGAAGGTCTGGCCTGATAGGCTCTATGCTCAGCACAGAAAGCCATAGATGCCATTGAATCTGAGAGAGTAACTTCACGTTGCTTCTCCTCCTGAACCAAAAGCTTATAAGCCAAAGAGACATTAGGTAAGGGATGCATCATCAAGATATTGGTTCTGACATTAATATACTTTCCATCTAACTTCATAAGCAATTGAATCAACCTCTCCTCTTGCTATTGTTTCAGAAATTTTTGAGTGAGATTACATGTGCATTCACTGCATGAACAAACTGGAACAGGATTAAATCCATTTATCTCATCCCAAACACCTTTGATTTGAGTGAAAATTCAGTTATACTACTAGATCCTTGTGAAATATCATGCAATGATTGTTGTAAGGTAAACAACTACGGACCAGAACTTTGTGAATATCGATGCTCAAGGTCTTTCCAAACCTCCCTTGCTGTTGTGAAATAGATCACACTTTGAGCCAAAGTAGTATCCAAAGATCTCAGAATATAAGAAATAATCATGGCATTGCATCTCTTCCTGTAATACTCCGTATTTTTATGTATTTTATAAATTATTTTATTAATTATAAAATATATTTTTAAGGGCTCAATTATTTTAATTAAATATTTTAAAGGGTTAAAGTATTTTAATTATTGACTCTCACAAAAGTAAAATACATTTTGGGCTAAACGTTTATTAATTATATGGACTTGTTTAAATAATGTATGTAAACAATCCTTACATACTCCTAGTGAACTTACCCATTTCATTTAACTAAGCCCAATTCTTATATTTGAACTATTTTGGGTCAAATATTTTATAACTGAAACCCACTTATTTATTAAGCCTAAACCTAATCCCTATTCTCTACTCTATAAACACCTCCCAAAACCCCAAAAATTTCCCAAACAAGAGATCAAAAATCAGATTTTTTGGGGGTAAGTAATCTTTTCTTTCTTTTCCCTTAATTTTCTTTTCTTTACTTTTTTCTTCTTTTCTTTTCTTTTCTCCTTTTTTTTATTTTTCTTCTTTCTTTCTTTGCTGCTCCTTGGTTTCATGCGTGAGTTCATATATGGGAGTAAGGGACCTCCCCTTTTGCTGATGCTGCTGCCACGTCACCCAAGGCTGTCGTCCCCACAGCCGACGCCGGCCACCTCTGGCCGTCCAACCACCGTCGGCAACCCGCGGCTAGCCACCGCGGTGGTTTGTCTCTCCTCCTCCTTGTTTTAAATTATTGTTTATGTAATTATTTGTTTTGGGTTTTGATTTTTGATTGATAAATTATATTAGTATATGGTATAATTGTGTTTTGACAACTACAGAGTATAAATTTCAGATTTTGTATGGTTTTAAATTATGATTTTTATAAAGTATTAAAAGTTAGGGTTTTAATTATAAAAGAGTTGATTTATAGGGTTCTAACTTGCAATTGATTTGGGGGTTTTATATACCTATTGATTGTAAGTGATAATGAAGTTTAAAGACTATATTTTTATGGAATTTTGATGAGTTTTTTGTTAATATTACATTGCTGGAATATTTTTGTAAGCACTACTTTTGTGTTTTAATAAAAAGGGTTTAATTACCCATAAGTAGAGAAGGTTTTAATTGGTTTTAATGGAATTTTCAGATTTATTTGAGGGGTTTAAACCTTAAAAAGTATGCTGGAATTTTTATATAAACACCATAATTGAGTTTTTACTTTGTGGTTTTAATTACCCACTTAGAGAAAGAGTTTTAAAGGTTTTAAACCAAAATTTCAGCTTATTAGAAAGGTTTTAAAGTGTTTAAAAGTTGCTGGAAATTTGTGTAATCAAGGGAGTAATTGAGTTTATGTATTTGGTATCATAGGAGACTTTAAATTGAGTAATTTCTAGCGTTGTGGCTAATTGGAAAGACGAATTGAGGTACGTATGCGCGTAGGATATATTAATTATGCGTAGTACCATGTCAGGAAGTTAAATTTGGTATCAAGAATGAGATTAGTATCATGTTAAGTTGTGTTGTGATACTTAAATTGATTGATTGGTTATCCCTGTCTTATATGTAAGCATGTGAGTATGAAGGAATTATTATTATGAGCTTGATACAAGTTGAAAGTAATTGAATCATGTTATATATTTATTATTCATAATCAAGAATGCATGTATTTATTAAGCAAGGCTTATTTTTGTTAAAAAGATAAAAGTTATATTTATTGAGCATGATTCATGATTTTATTCTCACCCATTTATTATTGGAGTTGAGTCAAGAAAGTAGTTTATTTATTTACTCACCCACATAAGTTGAGGTCGAGTCAAGAAACTAGTTTATTACTCACTCACATAAGTTGAGATTGACTCAGGAAGTTAGTAGTGCATTTTATGCACCAAGGTAGCAATCGTGCATTTTTGTGCACAAAATTAGGCAAGGAACCTTAACTAAAATAAATAGTATGTGCTCACTAATTAATTCAAGAATGAACTCGAAGTATGTGTTGATTGTTGCAATGTTTGTTCTTGATTGATTGGTTAGAGTCATCACAAGTTGAATTGGTAAATCACATAAAGTGTAAGAGGATACGCACCAAAACTCTTGTAACGTATATACCTTGAGTATGAACATATGGGGGGAGTTATGGGGTTTTATATTTAACTATAGCTTCTACAGGGGTACAGGACGTTGTACTTTCTTTTATTATTAATGCGCTGGAATTCCATCACAAGGTGACATAGTAGGTGCCAATTGGAGTAGCTCCCTAATTAGAACCTCCATGTTTAATGGGCTATTTTAAGGAAGGAAACCCGTTCGATGCGTTATCCAAAGCTATATATTAATAAATTAAAGTAGAGTCATGAGTCAAAGGTAAGTTGACTTGTGTTGTATGACAAGCATGTTTTATTTATTTATTTATTTATTGTCTATTGCTAGGATATTCATGTTAGTGTGATTATTCCTATTGGTGCATATATACTCAACTTTTCCTGATTCGTACTTTGTTTTTTTGTGTTTGGCTTTTCTTTGTATTGGCTCTACTGTGACCCATTTTATATGGCGAGTAGTGAGGTTGAAATAAAGAGAAGTACAGGTAGAAGGAGCATATCAAGCATGATGGGATTGAGCGAAGAGGGTTATATGTTACATTGCTTTGTTTATTTCTTATCGTAATATATTATTTCATTTATTGTTGTCACTAACATATAATCCTATTTGTAATATTTTAGTTTGATTTTTAAAAAAGGGCCTTGAATGGTTCCAAGTTATTTGTTTAATGTAAGTTGGTTTTAAAGTTTGAGTTTGTTTTATTAAACTTTATTTTATTTGAGCTTTTAAAAGTTAGTCTTCCGTTGTGTGACTTTGAATTGAAATAGCCTTAGCCGTTATCACGGTGGCCGTAATACTTTGGATATTTTCTAAAAATGAGTTTTATTTAGAGTAAGAGAGTATTTTAAAAGAAGGGAATTTCCAAGGTATTACACTCCCAGGCATGAAAAGCTTTATCAGTATCAGGAGGTTTTGGCAATGATCAATCATTGAATGCTAATTTGTTCTTCGCAGCTAATGCAATCATCATGCTTCGTCGCCATTCATTGTAACACTTTAGAAAATTTCTCTGAAATAATAGGTAGTGCGATTTTCCGAAGGATGCAGAAAATAGGCACTAGTAGGATCTCGAGTAAGAGATGATGGAGTAGTTTCCGCCATTGATATGAAAATACGAGCTTAAACAATCAATTCAGATTGAATTTAAGTGGAAATTGATCAAAAATGCAATCAAACAACGAAGAAAAATCGATCAAAATACAGCAATCAATTATGAAATCAAAAGAAAGAATATAAGCAGAAGAAATCTAAAGAACATAATTGAAATGCTCTGATATCATGATAAAATATGATGAAGTTAGTTCATCATCAAAAACCAGAAAAATGAATAAGAGGTTCCAAAAGAATGAAGTTGCAACTGATGATAAGTCCATTCTTGTAACTAGTTCTGAAGAAGTTAAACTTTGGCATCTTAGACTAGGAAATTTACCATTTAATAAGATACATCATGTTAGGAATAATGTGTCCTGTACATCTGGTAGTGACTTTATTTGTCAAGTTTATCCCCAGGCAAGACAAACCAGACTGTTTTTTTTCCTTTGAGTAGTTCTGCTACCACTCATATTTTTGAGTTGGTACATATAGATACTTTGGGTCCATATAGAGTGAATAATCATGATGGTTGTAATATGTTCTTGACAATAGTTGATGATTTTTCAAGGCATACATGGACTTTTCTCATGAAACATAAAAATGATGTTGTTCCTGTTATTGAGCATTTTTCTGCTATGGTTAAGACTCAGTTCAACACTCAAATTAAGTGTATCAGATCTGATAATGCAATTTTATCTCAAGAATTGTATTGTGCACCAAAAGAGTTGTCCTGATACTCCTCAACAAAATGGTCTAGTTGAGAGAAAGCATAAGCATATTTTAGAAACTGCTCGAGCTCTTTATTTTCAGTCCAATGTTCCTATTTCATTGTGGAGTGAGTGTTTGTTGTATGCCACTCATCTGATAAATAGGATGCCACTTAGCTCAATCAATTTCAGTACTTCTTATGAGAAGCTTCATGGACAGAAACTAGGATTGGGTCATTTGAAAGTTTTTGGTTGTCTTTGATATGTGTCCACTTAAAGATTCATAGAAGCAAATTTGATCATAGAGCAGTTCAATGCATTTTTCTGGGATATCCACCTGATCAGAAGGCATATAAAGTCATGGATCTTTCATCAAAAATAATTTTTGTGTCCAAGGATGTACAATTCTTTGAGAAACGTCTACCCTTCCTTAATCCCTCCACTATAAACACACCTAAATCCATTTTTCTACCAATAAACACTCTAACTTTCACACATTTCCTGATTTACCTTACCCTTTTGTTTTGCATCCAAATCCTAATCTTGCCTCCCAAAATACTCAATCAAATCCTCATCCAACTCCTGTCTCACCTCCATTTTCTCCCTCAAACTCTCAGCAAGACAACACCACCATAACACCACCTCTCTCACATTCTGATCATCTTTCCTCATCTGTCTCACAACATGTGCCTGACACAAGAGTTTCTTCTAGGCCACACAAACCACCTTCCTGGATGAAAGACTATGTTACTACACCATCTATATCCCAGCACTGGTGTAACATTGTCCTTTTTTGTGACATTCCTAGTGTTCTGCAATCTAAGATTGCTTGTACTGTCAAGGTTACAGAACCTAAGAGCTACTTAGAAGCTTCTCAGGATCAAAATTAGATAGAAGCTATGCAGACAAAAATTGCAACTTTGGAGAAGAATGAAACTTGGGATTTAGTTATGTTACCCAAGGATAAGAAGGCAATTTGGTGCAAATGGGTGTTCAAGGTAAAGCTCAAAGTTGATGGTACAGTTGAAAGATTAAAGGCAAGACTTGTGGCTAAAGGCTATACTCAAGTTTATGGGGTGGATTATGATGAAACTTTCTCACCAGTGGTTAAAATGGCCACTATTAGATGTTTACTAGCTTTAGCAGCAGGACATGGTTGGGAATTGTTTCAGTTAGACATAAATAATAATTTCTTACATGGAGAGTTGACATAATTATACATGAAGATGCCAGAGGGAATTCCTAATTCTAACAATTTGGTGTGCAAACTAAAGAAGTCTTTGTATGGATTAAAGCAGGCATCAAGGCAATGGTTTGCCAGACTTACTGCTGAACTAAAGAAGAAAACTTTTGTGCAGTCCAAGAATAATCCTTCTTTGTTCATTTACAAGGATAAATCTGTTACTCATTGCAGCTGTTTATGTGGATGATATCATCCTTACTATTACAGATCTCATCCTTATTAATGATCTTAAAACACATTTGCACAATGTGTTCAGCATCAAGGATCTTGGTCACTTTAATTACTTCCTTGGCATAGAAGTTTCTCACACTCCTCATGGTATAATTCTTACTCAGAAGAAGTTTTCTAAAGAGTTACTCCAAGAATGTGCCATGGACTTGTCTAAGGCTGCAAAAACACCTCTTCTTGTTCATTTGAAGCTGGTTACAGACCAAGGTGATCATTATCATGATCATGTCCTTTATAGAAGTCTGGTGGGAAAGTTAAACTTTCTTACTCATACTAGACCAGACTTAGCATATGCTGTTCAAACTCTTTCTTACTCATACTAGACCAGACTTAGCTACATATCGTTGAGCGAGCTAGCTTCATAATCCATGATTATTATATTCAAGATTAGCCAACAATAATCCATTTGCATCTACATCACCTGAATTCATCTAAACACACAAACGAAAAGTAGTATAATACAACTTAAATATATAACGAAAATAAGCACCTTAAACCTCTAAATTCATTTTTATTGGTTATAAAAATTTAACCACCTAAAATGTGTACAAATTAGGACTAATCAATTTTATTGGTTATAAAAATTTTATTGTCCAAAGTATGCATATAAAAATGACGTGAAATAAAGTTTTAGTGCTTTGTTTTGACTATGAAGTTGGAGGTTTAAACCTTGACCCCTTTACCTTTATGAGTATCTTTAAATATTCCCCCTTGCTTTGGCCGTATATTATGTATATTAATTATGTTATAGAAGTTTAAGGATGCATCTAAGAAATTTACTTTACCAAGCTAGATAAAAACTTTTTGCCTTGCCTTCTTATTTAACTCATCAAAGTAACTTTGTTAACTTGGCTTTGGCATATTATAAAGAGGAGAAGGTTTATTCTCCCTCATTATTTCAAATTTTCTTCCTTATGTATTGTACAATAGTTTATCATTGATCAATCCTAATTGGTTTATTTCTTGTGTTTTTTAATATAAATTTCCTCTATTGTGTATTGTACAATAGTTTATCATTGATCAATCCTAATTGGTTTATTTCTTGTGTTTTTATGTTTTCCCTCTAAATAATATTAGGGTGTTGATTATGAGTTAGTGCAAGTTGTTGGACAAACCCTTATTAGAAGATCAGTTGGTTGGGGTACTCATATTAACTTTTTGGCTCGGCTTAAGGTATTAATTCTTCTCCAATACTCTTTTTTGCTGATCTAAAACATGCACCAGATGAAGTTTTACACTGTTGAAAATTGACTCCTGTACCCTGTGTTTTCGGTATGTTAATGAAATCGTTTATTTGATCTAAATTATGTGTCTTTTAATCCTGCTGATTTTCTTAGTTAATTGTTTCTCTTGTTGCCTCTGTTTATAGGTGAAGCTCGTCCTCGGGATGTATTTATCTTTCATTGTCCACTTATTGAGTGCTTGCAATGTGATGAGTATTTGGACATTTTCTACAATGATGAAGATGACAGTGAAGACGATGTTATTTATATGTGATTAAGTGACTAATTAATGTGTAGACTTATTGTTGCTAATCAAGTCAGAATAATAGCCTAATTTTGCATCAATCCCTTTCTCAGAACCAATTAATAATATTCTTGTTCACTCCACTTCCAACTTAATCTATTTATTTTCATGTACGGTTCATTTGGACTTTGGTTTGTCGTAAAACATTTTCAATTTTTTTTTTTTTTTTTTTTGGTTATAGAAAACTTAATTTTAAGGAAGAGCAAAGTCACAAATCAGTTTTTCTTTGTAAGAAAAGCGATTGAGAAATTGAAAATATGAGTAAGAAGGTAAGAATGGATAAGAGAAATGTACAATGTGGAGTAAAGAGGAGGGAAGAAAATGTGGTTTTCCTTCTTTTATAAAGGAAAAATGTTTTCCAACATATAAAATGTGATGTTTCAATGTTTTGAAAATTGTTTTTCACCCCTTCACGACCATCTGACAAAAAAAATGAGAGAGAATGAAAAAAATCATTTTTTATGAAAACATTTTACATAAAACGGAACATACCCATTGACCTGTAATACCCACAAGCCTTTCTAATAAAACAGTGCAAACTACAAACACGGGTTACCAGTATTTAGGAACGATTGAGTATCATTCATACCACCATATGAAATTTCTAAAAAAAAAAAAAAAAAAAAAAAAAAAAAAAAAGATTATTATTCATACCATCAAATGTAGTTTTGTCAATGAACTATCACATATTTAATGACGTTTTGGGCCTTTTGCTTTTGCCAAAAGTACACATATACTCTTACTTTAACCTAGTCAATTTGCTTACATAATTGCATCTAATTAATGACTCTAGAAGTAATTTATTAATTCTAGTAGTATATTGTAAGATGTGTAATCGAAAATGACCTTTGGATGACGGTTCTAAGATAATCTTGCTTAACATTTTTTGATAAATTAATTTTAACATTTTTGGTTCATAAAGCATACAATTAGGAATAAGCAGA